CCTCTGACAAAATCGTCGCTCTTTTTTCTGCGAAGCGAGATATTAATAGACAAAGTTGAGGGCGTATTAGGTTAGAAAATCTGTCATACCATCTATTTCTAGCTATGTAACTGGGGGGCTTCGCCCCCAAGACCTCCCTATCACAGGGGGTGGGGGCTGTAATCTTTTGTGAGAAATTCACTTTTTAGCTTAAGCACAAGAGACTATAGCCCTCACCCCCCGTGATAGGCAGGTCTGGGAGACGAAGCCCCCCAGTTACATAACTAGAGATAAATGATATGATAGATTTTTCTAACCTAACACGCCCTCAACTTTGTCTATTAATATCTCGCTTCACAGTAGAGAGCGACGATTTTGTCAGAGGAAAAAGTTGTTTGGCATACAAAAACGTATCGATAGAGTCTATTTTCATCGAAATCGGAGGTGTTGCCGCAAAACTAAACAATTATCAAAACCATAATTTACACTCTACATTACAAATAGTAGGACGAAAATCGGAATGAGTCCCAGATGCGCACATTGACAAACGGACACATCCAATCATATGTCGTTGTTTATAGAGTCTCTAGAATATCTCTAGGCATATGGCGTTGTGGTTGGATGTGATAAAAACGAAATAAAAACACAAATATTTTCTACAAAACTATTTTTTATTTCTCATCAGTTGCATATCCATTGCATAAACAAACGATACATAATTAAATGATGATAAAATAAACGGTGCACATCATTCTGTGTCCAAATGAACAGCAGACAACTGGACGATGTCCAAGTGAACGGTGTCCAAATGAACAGTGCGCATCCTTCTGTGTCCAAGTGAACAGTGGGCGATTGAACGGTGTCCAAATGAACGGTGTCCAATTGAACGGTGTCCAAGTGAACTGTGTCCAAATGAACGGTGTTCAAGTGAACAGTGTCCAAATGAACGGTGTCCAAGTGTACAGTGCGCACCCTTCTGTGTCCAAGTGAACAGACAAGCAATTCCACGGTGTCCAAGTGAACGGTGTACAAATGAACAGCACGCATCGTTCTGTGTCCAAGTGAACAGTGGGCACCTGAACGATGTCCAAGTGAACGGTGTCCAAGTGAACTGTGTCCAAATGAACGGTATCCAAGTGAACGGTGTCCAAGTGAACAGTGAGCATCCTTCTGTGTCCAAGTAAACTGTGGGCACTTGAACGGTGTCCAACTGAACTGTGTCCAACTGAACTGTGTCCAAGTAAACGGTGTCCAACTGAACGGTGTCCAAATGAACGGTGTATAACTGAACGACGTGCATTTTCTTTCGTGTCCAAACTCACCGTGTCCAATTGAACTATGTGTCAAATGCCGTGTCCATTTGCAACGTGTCCATTTGCAACGTGTCCAATTGTACTGTGTCCAAGTGCACCGCTCCCGTAGAAGAAAGGACTTGTAGAAAGGACCAACAGAGTGGTGAAAACCATGGTGTCCCAATATGTGGGATGGGACTACCGAAAATGGGACATCCACTGGCCGGTACTGCAATTCGCGTATAATACAGCAGTTCAGGAATCAAGAGGATACTCTCCCCCGTATTTAAACTACGGGCGAGAGATAGCGAGCACACCAAACAGTCACAATGTAAGTGAAGAACCAACATCACAACAAAGACAACTTAAGGAAGCATACGAGCTAGTAAAAATAAATATGGCCCGATGGTTCCAGCGACTGGAAAAGTATTATAATTTAAGACGACGAAACTAGAAGCCAAAAATCAGCAAAAAGTATAGAAGCGGGAAAACCCGTTATCTAATAAGGCAAAAGCATTCAACGCTAAACTAGCACCGAAATATTCAGGACCGATGACGGTTAAAAAAATAATATCGCCGATTGTCGTCGATCTTAAAGATAAAAACGGTCGATGGCACCGGCATATACATGTCCAAGACCTTAAGTCGCAACATAATAATAACAAGGAGGACGACGAGGACGAGGACGAGGCAACAAGAGACATATAGGTAAGCGCCACAAATAATAAAGTCTCACGACTCCGGACGATAGCAACGAGTAAAAATGCCTTCGCAGAAATTCTACGAAATAGAAGGAGTTGACGTCCTCTGGACGGATCTGTTCCTGTCCTCGGAAAACGAGAACAACAAGGCAGCACAGCCTCGTTCGCCGTCGACACCGCCACTGTCGACAATAGCAGAGGCGTCAAGACAGATGACGACGACACCAACAAGTCCGTCGCCGGCAAAGAAGCAAGAAGCCAGCGAACCGCCTCAAGAGCCGACGACAAACCCAGCAGTGCCGTCGTTAGCAAAGGAAACGCAAGCCGAAACATCGGCAAAGACCAGAGCACCGATACCAACGCTGCTTTCAAGAGGCACAAGAATACAGCGTTCGGACGCCGTGCAGAAAAGGAAGACAATCTTCCTAACAGCTCCGCCGCCCCCACCGCCAGGGCGCCGAGGACATGTCGCCGCCACGATATCAACCGGCAAGAAACAGGCGCAAACAAAAACAATGCCCCTGACAACAGGTCCACCACCAGTACCAGTAACAATAGTACCGCTAACACCAGCGAGAACAGCGAGGCCATCCGTAGCACCGCCACCGTCAACACCGGCAGCAACAACTCCGCCAAGGCCAAGAAAAGTGGTCTCAAAGGAAACGCCGAATAACCCATCAAGGGCCACAACAGCGGCAGAGGAGGCAGCGACCCGGGAACCCAACCAAGTGACGGCGGTCAGGCAACCACCGACCGAACCGTTACGCCTGATCTCGCCGTCACTACCGCTACCGATCCCGATGAAGTTGCCACCGAGAAGAGTGACTAGCAATGGACAATACTTTGAATAAAAAATAAGGTACCGTTCTTTCACAATAAATACCCAATTTTTGATAAAAAACGGCAGAGACTTATTTGTACTCC